CAACTTTCCAAATTCCTTTCTTTAGTCATCAAAAGAAAGAATGGAAGCAATTGGTTTGTCTGATGCAATGAATAATAAATAATAATAATGACTTTTTTATGGTTGGTCACATTCCCCCAAAACATATTGTTTTTAAATGTTTTTTCCTTAAATATGTTTAATTTAAAGAAAATTACTGTTACATATATGTATTTATCAAAATATAATTAGTCGATTCCTATATTTTTAGAAATGTTTTTTTTTAGTCTTTATATTTTTATTCCGTCACAACTTTCGGTACTTTCGTCAATTTTCTTCAATTTTTCCGTTTGTCAAATAAATATAGAAGAGTCAAGACAGAGAATTTAAGATAATCTAAAAATACCCTTTTTTATTTTCTGTTATTTCCTATTCTTTCTCTAGTTAAGGATGCAAAGGGGATTTTAAAACTCAAGTAAAATCGCGGCTATTGTTGTTGGAGAATATATCGAGAAGCTCATTGCTTTCTCTCGCTGCCTTGGCTATGTCCTAGTAGAACTAAACAACATAATAATAATATTATTTTCTATCAATTTGTAATTTATTAAAAAATAAAGGATATAATATATTTGTAATAATAAAATTTATTATTTATTAAAGCATAATATAAATTTTTTATTTAAATATTTTTGTTTTTAAAATAAAAATATTTTATGGAAAAAATTATTTCTTATACGTGTTCAATTTTTCTTCAATTTTGCCGTTTTGTTTCAAAATTAATTTTATTAGAAGAGTCAAGACAGAGAGATTGTGAAAAGAGATAAATCTAAACAAAACATACCCTTTCTTTATTTTCTTGTTTATTTACATCTATATCTTTTTACTATTAAGGATGTCAAAAGGCGCTCATTTTTAAAACTATATCATAACATAGTAACTCTCGACATTGATTGATTGTATTGGAGTAAATACTCCAAAGTCCATGTGCTTCTCGCTTGTTTTGAGGCTATGTCCTACTAGAACTAAACAGAAATAGTCCATTCAACAGATACTCTCTACTCTTGGCTATCATATTTGTCATATTATATTAATGATAATAGGACATTAAATATATTATTTAATAATATATTTATTATTTATAAATAATACAATAAAATAAAAAATAAATAATATAACATACAATAAAGAATAGACTAGATAAAATATATAAATCATAAAAAAATTTAGAATATATAATATTAACAACAATAATTAACATATTAGTTATTAATTATATACATATGTATAGTGTATACTTCTCTCTTTTGGAAGATGCAATGCATATCCCATTGTGTGATATCTTAATACATTTATAATATTTTTATGGAAAATAAATATACATATACAGTAATATATATAATTTAATTTTTAATAATATTCGATAATGTCATATTATGTAGAGAACGTGAGATTTCAGTGGTACACTATATATATGATGTACTCATTTTATAGTAGAGAACTCATGTGATATCGAACATTATATATAGCAATATTCATTTATTCATGCTCGTATAGGTTAATATTACGAAAATATCGTTTTTCTTTATATATATATTATAGTGTTATATATTCATCTCGTTTCTCAATTTGTGTTATATGGTAAATCTCTCGTTAATGTTGCTTTTATTCTCTCTATTTTTCTATTTTTTGATAATACCTGTTTAAAAAAATGTCTTATGTTCGAATTTATTCTCTAAATTTACTCCTCTCTGTGCCTACATATAAGAAACTTATTATCTTCACTCTATGTAAAGATGTGAGCTTATGATATATACCTATAATAAAGTATATTCACTCAGTGGGAGTGTTTAATATACTATATAGATAAGATGGAATATATAATTGAATGTCTTTACATTAATGATTTTAATTCTTATTTATATACTTTAATGTGATGCAAGATTATATTAGTAGAAAGTTTTCAATTATAGTTTATGAATATCAACTGATTCGATAATAATTATATTGTATATCTATCTCTCCTATTATTATCCCATATATCACTCAATTGATTAATAACATACATAAAATAATTATTAATATTTTTTAGAGTTAGCTTTTAGAGTGGTATTAGAACATAATTTAAAATCAATTTCAATGTGATAGAAATATAAGATTTCTCTCAAGAGATTATAAGTACATATATTATAAGAATGTGTATATATTTTGAATACTTTAAACCTTATTTAATATAATTTCACAATTCAATAATAATTCTCGCTTATATATAATTGATATAAATAATTATTCTCTTAAAAATTAATTGAAATTAAACTCTAAAATAATAATTCAATTTATGTAAGTATTTTTTATTTCCCGTTGGGAGTAAATTTATTATATAATCAGTTATAGTGTAAGTGGAATTTTAATTAATAATATATAAACATTTTACTCTAAGTACTATGCGAAATCACTCTAATTCAGACATCTACATTAATAAGTATTACATATCGAAATATATAATTGTAACATTGATAAATTCAATAAAAATATCTTATATATCGCCTTTTCTACATACTCTATACTTAATTTTTATAACTTTATAATATTTTCTATTTGAATTATGTTATAGAATATAAGATTTATACTATTTATAATTATGAGTATGTTAGAATGTCTTCGAATACAATGTAAAGTTATTTATATATGTGTATATATTCATCATCGCCAATATAATAATGTCTGCCAAAGCATAGCAATCATTGATATAAAGAGTGGGTGCAAAAAAATTATTGTTGGATGTGAAATATAGATTCTTATAATTTAAAATATAGATAGATCAAATAATTATCGTTTACTATATATAAAGAGTTTATAAAATTTGTTATAATGGATTAACGAGATTTCTTACATTCCATATAACGTGGCTGTTCTGTAGAGTGACTTTAAACCTCGCTCTCTATAATATTTATATTATAAATTGAGTTTAGAGGTGTAAATATATTGTTTTGATAAGTTTATTATGTTTATTATTCAATAAATTTAACTAGAACCCTATGTGTGTTGTAGATTTTAAATGTAAAATACGGAAATATTTTATTATAATATTGACCCTCGTTAATTAGATGAATCTCAATTTTATAAAAAAAGAAAAGACATTTTTTATGTTTTTCTTAATTGTGTTTTTTATAATATAATCTTTATTACTACTTATCAAAAAAATGTCCGACCTATAGTGTGTATATGGTATTCCCTTAATTTACTTTATAAAATGGATATTATAATTTTAATTATGAAAATGTCATTTTTTAAAAATGAAAACAGTTAAAAACATGTCTTTTATTATAAAGAAAAACTCTGAAAAATAACTTAAAGCAATTTATCATAATGTTTAGAAAACTATTTTTAAGTTTTCTAAATAGAAAACTGAGTGATTTGAAATCAAAGGTTTTTTTTTCTAATTTTTTTGAAAAACTGTTTAAAAAGCTATTTCAATTTTTTATAACTGAACACATCCTCTACTCTCAAAATTATCTCCAATGTGAAAGAAATGAACAAAAATATTAAACATCTCACTTTAATTTAGAATGATATAAACTATGATTTATAAAATTTAGTTTTATTTTCATTGATCAGAATATTTTTAGAGAAAGTTTCAATTTTATTTGGTATCAAAGGTTATAAAATATAATTTTATATAAAATCAATATAACCAAGATATTAAAAATGAAAAATATATATTTAGGATTGATTATTATAAAAAATAAATCAATTCATGTGAAATATAAAATTCAAAAGTTTAGTACTATTATAAAAGAAGGATATTTAGAATTAAACAAATAAAAAATACAATAAACTAAATTGCTAATATAATTGAAAATATTTCTTAAAAAATAATTGAAATTAAACAAAAATAATATTATGTAGCGTGGTAAATAATCGTTATGTAGCTGATTTAAATATTTACTTTTAACAATTAAATCCAGTCAAATTAAAATAATCATATTAATGAAATTTATTGAATCAACTTACTCTCATATATTTTAAATAAATTTAGATGTTTTGTAGTGTTTGAATAATTAAATTAATATATATTCACATTGAAAAATGTGCCATAACAACAAATAATGTAAAGGAAAAAAAAAATAGTGGATGAAATAAAGAGTCTATATATATAGAAAAAAAAGAGTTACTATATTTAGAAAGGTAAAATTGGAAGATTAAGGATCTAATCGACATTACTGGCTGTTTTAGTAACTATTAACTGTTTATTTTATATAATTGTTTAGAGTAAAAATGTTTGATAAGAATAGTTATTTAATTAACAGTTGAATTTAAAATGATAAAATAGGACATTTAAATATGACCGTAAAAGTGAACTCATTATTAGAAAAAGAGATAATTTATATAATGTGTTTTTATTTTTCTATCAAAAAAATGTCGATCTATAGTGTGTAGTCTAATTATATAAATTGAAGTCATTATCATTTCTAAAATGATAATATAATTTCCTCACATATTCCTCTATTGATTCATTATTAAATTATTTTTAAAAATTTTTTTATGTAAAATAATGTAATTTTTTAACTTAATAATGTAATTATATTATATTTGAACTAAAATTAACATTATAAAAATAATTACTATTAAAAATTATATTTTTAAAATTAATATTTTATGTAAAATTATTTTAAAATAATAAATAACTGTTAAATAATGTTATAAAAATTTTAATTAATTTCCCTAACGGTATATGCAGCATGTATAGCTTAGGGCAAGACTCAAGAAAAAAAAAAAAAAGAAAAGAAAAACAATCCAATTTGATGAATCCCTAAAAAAATGATCAAATGCAGAAATATCCAAAATAAATTTACAAATTACAAATCAGAAACAATCAAATATTTAAAATTATGTTAGTTAATTCAGATTCTTCTTCAACCTTGGCAATTAGAATAATAAAAGTATCTTAAAAGTCAATTTTCTATTCTATGGGACAACCCTAAGAAAGAAGTTCAATTGTATTCTTCAAGATCAATGGTCAAGAAAAATCAGCAAAAAATAAATAACTTATCAAATAAAGAATTTATATATGAATGAAATTTCAAAAAGGGAAGAAAAAATGTGGCCCTGTACATTACCTCTAGGTACTTCACTCCAAGAGGGGGAACCAAAGAGAAAAATAAAAAATAAAAAACTTTTCAGTCTTGGGTGAACTAATATCTGACTCCCAAAAAGAAAAAGGGAAAAACATTGTATTTTTATTATACTCAACAATTATTTATTTTCCTTTCTTTTTTTTTTTTTTAACTTTTTTCACCTAATAAAACCTTTGGCCCATATGGGCTGGGCCTGGGCCTGGGCCTGTAATGGGATCTTAATACAGAAAAACCTCAACACTGGAATTTCTTACTTGGAGGCAAAGTGGGCAAGCTTGTGCCACTTGGTCACATTCTGTACACAAACAAAGATGCCGACACGGCAGCACCACCACCGTCGCAGCCCGTTTCCGGCAACCCTTGCAACTTGGACCGCCTGACACCGTCACCCTCTCGGGATCCACATACGCTGACTCCGCATCCTCCGCCTGCCCTTCTACTCCCCCAGAGCATCCTAGCCCATCATCCCCTCTCCTGCTATCCTGTGCCACTCCCCCGCTCATTATCGCCTGCTGCAGTTGCGCCTGCAGTGAAGCCGCCATTGACTCTTGTGCCCGGGCCTTAGCCTGCCAAACCTGTGCCTCCACACTAAGTTGAGCGGCGCGTGCTTCTAACTCAGCGTTTCGTCGCGTGGCCTTTTCAACTTCCGTGTTTTTCTCCGTTAATCGCCTGGCTATAACTTCATCCGCTGCGCTTAGCAGCGCACGATAGTGCCTCTGCCTTTTTTCTACTAATGTGCGCCGCAACTGTTCTCCCTGTACGAAAGTTGAATCCCAACATTTCATTTACGTATAGAACAATCAAAAATTCAAAACCCACCAAAGAAAATCCCAAAATAAAAAAAAAAAGAAACCAATTGAGTGAAAGAGAAAATATTAACCTGTGCTTGAAGAAATTGTTCTATTTCATCTCGTTGTCGTTTTATTTGAGTGGCGAAATCTTCTGATAATAAAGATAAGAAAGGAGACGATTGACATACGAAACTCTGCTGTTGTTGCGATTGATAATGGTGATTTTGTTGTATTTGTTGCTGTTGCTGTTGTTGTTGGTCACCAAAAGATAAACGGAGGCCAGTAGAGACGACGACATTTGGTTGTTGTGGCTGTGGCTGTGGCTGATTATTATTATTATTGTTGTTATTGTTATGGAGTTGAGAAAGGTCGATTAGTTGAGGAGCTTGAGGCTGCATAGAAAAGGAATGGATTGTTGCTCCTGTTGTTATGCCACCGGCTGCCGTTGCCGTCGCCGCCACCACTTCCCGTCCTCTCTTTCGTGGATTACTATTAGCCCCTGTTCCGTTCCCCATATCATATAATAATCTTGATACTATTATTGATTATTGATTGTTTAATTTTTGAAAACGAATTAATGAATAAATAAAACTAACCTCCACTGGAAAATAGCATATGGGATTGATCAAGAAATCCACCTGGCTGTGGTTGTAATGAATAATCATGACCTTCTTGACCGTTTCTGCAAATAATATTAAGAAAGAGAGAGATAGGATAAGCAAGAGAGAATTTACAAAAATGTAGAGAGAAAGAAAGGACAAAGAAATAGAAAATTCATTAACCTGTTTAAAAGAAGAACATTTGAGGGGTATTGAGCTTGAACAGCCATTAAAAATTTATGAATATAGGGAAAGAAAGAAAGAGAAATTAAAATAGGATGGGTATGGTATGGGTGATTGGTGTTGGGTATATAGAACAATGTGAAAGGCAGCAATAAACGCTAGCACATAAGAAGCATGAAAAGATGCCCCTTAAGCTAAGGCGGACTCTTCAATGAAAGAAAAAAGAAATTAAGAATTAAAAAAAAAAAAAAAAAGAAAAAAAGAAAGAATGAGACAGACAGGTGCTAGACTAGTACAAGTATTTTTCTTTCTTGAAATAAAAAGAGAGAGAGAAGAAAGAAATTAATTAAAGAATCAATGAATGAAACATGTTTGATGAAACTCCTCAACCAAGATCAAAGACCCAACACTTGTTTTTTCTTCTTCTTCTTCTTGTTCTTCTTCTACTATCACAACCTTTCTTCTTCGCATAATCTTCTCTCTTTCCCTTTTGTTTTTCTTTGCTGTTGTGTTGTGTTTTCTTTGAAGAGAGAAAGATAGATAGATGCGATTGAATGGAATCAATACAAGACAATAATAAGCTCTCTTTTTCTTCCTTTGGTTTCGGTTTGCTTTTCTCTTCTTCTTCTTCCTCTTCTTCTTAGCGTGGGGTTGGCTTTTCTTAAGGAGGACTCTCGTGTTTTCTATCAACAACACCAATACTCGTACTGCATTTATTTATTTATAATAATATTAGAAAAATAAAAAAAAAATAAAAATGAAAAATAGTAATAATGAATGAGAAATAAAGAAAATAAAAATGGGTGTTGTGTTGGTTAAAGAGGAGGTGGTGATGTCTGATGCGTAGTAGTTATTGTAAGTTGCAGGTTTTTCAGCCTCTGCCTATGCCTTTGTTTGTATATTATGGCCCCCATTTTCTCTCTCTCCCTCTTCCATTGCATGCCAGCTTTCTTTACTTTCATTTTCATTTTTTAACAAAATATATCCAAATTTTCAAAAATAAAAAATTGAGATAATTTTGGAATTTATGGTTTTGAATAATTAGGCAAGCTTCATGTGAAAGGCAATCAAATTCTAAAATTAAGAATCTTATCAATAAATATCTTCACTCTATATTCTATTAATATGATTTTTTGTTTGATTTTTAATTAATCAATAAATTAAGATTAATTAGTTAATTATTTAAAATAAAATAGAGTTTATATAAAAGATTCAAAAACTCCCAAAAGCTATGGTTTCTTTTTAATGCCTTATCTTAGAAAATAAAGAAAAGATCAATCACAATACTAATTGATTGCAAGATTGTTGGGTTTAAGAGGTTGGTGTTTGATCAATATTTTCTCTTAAGACTATTTCAAATGATTAATGTAGCCTAATTATACCCTTGATATAAGGATATGCAAATTTGAGAATAAAGATATTTTCAAATGACATTTCTAATTAAAAAATTAAGATGAGACTCAAATGATATTTGCTTTTATTTTTGTTTAATTAATAAATATTAATGAATGAGTGACAATTAAATGCAATTTTAGGAGAAAAAAAAATTGAATTTTAGGATTTTAAACCTTTTCAAATAAATATTATCTAGAGTCAAAAGTATATTTTTATTTTTTGGATGGTAAAAAGTAAAAAAAAAAATAAAAATAAAAGAGATTAATAAATGAGTCACACAAGAAAAGTTAAGTGGGAATAGGTGATCTTCCCAAAAACCAAGAAATAATTTAAAAACTTTAATTAAATGGAAGTGACAAAGAAAGGGAGAAGCCACCAAAAGAAGAGAAGGAAAATGTGAAAGAGAGTGCTTTGGAATGGCATCATCTAATTTTTAGTCTTTGCTTAGGTCCCCACATTCTTAAGGGTCGGCTAATCCAATTCTTTTTTTTTTTTTTTTTTTTTTTTTTTAAGAGAGTGCTTTGGGAATGGATATCTTAATTTTTAGTCTTTGCTTAGGTCCCACAATTCTTAAGGGTCGGCTTAATCCAATTCTTTTTTTTTTTTTTTTTTTTTTTTTTTTTTTTACCATCTCATGATTAATTAAATCTTATTTTCTTCTTCTTCTTCCTTTTTTTTACAAGGAATCTTTATTAATACGTTGTAAAAATATTATATTTTTTTTTTTTTTTTTTTTTTTTTTTTACCAATCTCATGATTAATTAAATCTTATTTCTTCTTCTTCTTCTTTTTTTTTACAAGGAATTTATTAATACGTTGTAAATATTTATAAAATGCTAATTCCATTGACTTGGATATTCACTCTTAAAATTTGAAGTATTTTTCGCAATTATATCTTAAATATTTTATAATTTTTAAATTATTTGAAGTCTATTTTCTTTTTTCATTTTTGCTAATATCAAAGCTTAAATCAAAAATATTTACTTATGGGTAAAATATTATTGGAATTGACTATTAATCTGATAGGGTTATATGATCTAATAGCCAGATTGAATCTATTGACCTAACAACTAGTTTTACTATTTTACATATAAAATCAATTTCTTAGCTTAGGTACATCTATATATTCATATATTAGCAATATAATCCAAAAGCATTAATACAATATTGGTGGCTAAACCAAATTGGACCGGACACTAATTACGATATTTAATATATATAAATCAATTAATTAATTTGTGTAAACTTGATTAATTAATGTCTAATTTGAATTGTAAAAAATTAAAACTATTAATATTATTTTTTATATGTTGATGATGTGAACAATGAGATATTGAATCAATACAACTTAGGAGGAGGAGGCCAAGTCAACACACTTATCATAAAATGTAATTCTGAGCACTGCATTATGTTTGAACTCTCTTTTGGTTTTTGTCTCCCTTGTGCTTGTGACTTGGGGCATTATTATATTTATATTTATATATATAATTTAATTATATAGTATTATTGAACTTGTTGTATTGATATATCTATGTCAAAATTAAGTACCTAGAAACTTCATCGATTGCCATTTTCTTGTCATGAACATTGCCTTGTATATGTTCTTTTCTTGCAACTATTTTTGTTACGTTGAAATTGATTAATTAATTAATTAAACCCGTAATTTCATTATGATAAAAATTACTTTAATTATGTCCGTTCATTATCGTGCAAATGACTTATTATATCCGTTGATATAATTTTGAAGAGATCATTTATAATAAAAGAATTTTAGATATGAAATTTATTTGCGAGTATATATCTAATATGATTGGATATACCTATATTTTTTATTGGATAAACTTTAAAAAATTTTGTTGAAATTAGTAGAATTTATAGAGATGAATACTAAAAAAAAGTATACAGTAGTTTTAATTAGTTTAATAAGGCCATTAATGTTGAAACTGAAATAAATTTTATATTTGTTTGGTTTGAAGCATAATATAATATACAATCATTTTTTTACAAGTTAAATAATTTTATATGACAGATTAATTAATTTGGCCTTCATATTAAATACTATTATTATTATTATTATTATTAATATTGCATGAGATGGTGTTAAAAAAAAGATTTATAACTCTTCTCATACACTTATCCCACAAGAAGAAAAGTTGAGATTCACCTTAGAAGGGAAAACTATATCATGATTATGCATTGTTTTACTTTATTATTATTATTATTATTATTATTATTATTATTATTTAATTAATTAATTGCTATGCAGTAAAAGATTAATAATCTTGAACTATTTAAAGGTAGTCATTATAGCTTTAAAGAGAACCAAGTAATCTATTGAACTCATATAAGCTATTGAGCAGCTTAAAATACAATCATTTAGAAGAGTGTTCAAGTAATGATAGGTGTTTTTGATCTTTAGAGAATTATTTTTTTATATTTTATTCTTATTTTAGCTTATTCTTTTTATGATATTAAAAAAAAAAAAAAGATTAGAGTCTATTGTGAGTCATCATTTCCAAGAGGCAGTGTCATGAAATAAGGCACATTTCCTTGGGTTAAAGACATACTAACTTTACTTAAGACATTTCTTTAATCCTAATCCAACCATTGATGACCCACAAACTCCCAAAACTTCTCTTCTATTGTATTTTTTTTTTTTTTTTAAATTTCTTTTAATATTTCTCTACCAATTATTTTTTCTTGGACTGTGTTTGGTTCACTTTATATATGACACTATTCTCATTCACACCTCCATCACTTTTCCTTTTCCTCATACCAAAAGCACTCCTAAATATTCCTAATTACAACCCTCATGAGAAGCAAGCAATTAGTTTCAATATCCTTTTTAATCACCATTCTTTTAACATTATAGTTATGCCCCTAATAAGATATTTCTCATTATTAATTAATTTTTGTTTAAGCAATACTCTATATATAGAGAATGAGTGTTAACAATCCTCCTTAGTGTTAACTATAATGATAATAACAATACATAAAAGCCTTTTTCTTCTTTTTGCTTGATCAATATTTTCTTTCTTTTTATTTTTTTTATTTGCCAAATCACAGAAATCGGTTCATGGTTTCACTTATGAATCATAACGATAAAATTAAGCATCCTTATTGAAACGAGAGTATTTTTAACTATATATTTGAAAAAAAAGGATAAAGTCGGAATACTTTTTAAAAAATTCTTAATTTCTTTTGTTTGATTCATAAATGGAACAAGAGGCAAGCAATTTCCACTTTTGGTAGCTAGAATCAAAGCATATTGAGGAATTAGTGCTATATTAACCTATAATAACTCGTTACCAAAATTTAACAAAATGGACAAAATCTATAATATATGTTGATGTATTATCTTAATTATGTTTCACGGAAAACAAGTGAGCTAACAGATTAATTAGGAGAAAATGGAGAATTATACGTATATGCATTTTGTTTGTGGACAATGTGGGTTTGCTATTATACCTAAACCAAACCAAGGCAAACCACCCTTCCCCATTGCTTCTCTTTCTCTTTCTCTTTCTTTATTTATTTATTACTACTATGAAATGGGTATTTATGAAGCAAGGTAAATTCTTTTGAACAAAAACAACCAAATATATACAACTTGCATAATGGGAATATATAGCTAGCAACGCACATTGTTTCCCATGTGGTCCTTTTCAAATTTTGGACTCTTATTTTAGCCTCCTTATTCTAGTAGGTAAGACTAATTAAAACCAAAGCTTCATCATGCAGAGCGTACAACGTCTAAAATGTCAATATATATATATATATATATTAGTTGCAGTTTAAAAAAAAAAAAAAAACGTCTAAATGTTCAATATATATATATACTACTAAAATTATTAGTTGCAAGTTTTTAAAAAAAAAAAAAAAAAAATACCAAGAAGATAAAAAAAAAAAAAAAAATACCCAAGAAGAATTTTAAAATCTAAAATGAAATTTTAAATTAATGAATCACAAATGGTGAAGTTGAAGTACCTAGAAAAATGGGTTGTGAAAAATAATAAAATAAATTTATAAATAAAGAAAATTATGAAGGAAGAGAAGATGCAGACATTATATTTATGATAATGTCAGTAGGAGAAGGTGGGTCTGGTGGTAAGATGCTATAATTTATGGGTCTATTTTGAGAAATAGTAGAAATAGTACTTTGGCATTTTTTTTTTTTTATTGTTTTTTTTTCTTGATATGATAATGGCAGTCACAAGAAGAGCCAGCTTAAGAAATGGGACCTCATAAGGCAATTGGGAGGGAAGCTACTATCAGACTGTGTGGTGGTGGTGGTGGTGGTGATGGTGGTGGTGTTATGTGGGGATTCTTGTTTGGTATTTGCTGCAAAAGAATCAAAAATCTCCCTGCCAATCCAACCTCCTATTTCCTTAGTCATTGTGGGCACACTTTGGTTTGGAGTCAT